GCAGAAACCTCGAGCTCGTAGAGTCCAATGCAGCCGCTGCAAAGAAGTCTTCTGGTATTACACACAATTACACTCGCACACACTACTCAGTTCATGGCGTAATACATGGAATTGCATGTGTGTGTGTTTGGATTGACTGTGTCCGTCTGTCTTCAGTTTTAAGTGCAGACAGATGTATCATGCGCCCACAGACTGTGCTACCATCCGCAAATGGCTGACCAAATGTGCAGATGACTCTGAGACAGCCAACTACATCAGTGCACACACTAAAGATGTAAGGAAGCACACACAGATACATTTAACATGGACACATTAAGTATATATTGTTGAGTGTAAGTTTATTTGATAGTAAAGATATTATTAATATCCTTATGTTTTGATTTTGTGCCTACAGTGCCCTAAGTGCAATATCTGCATTGAGAAGAATGGAGGGTGCAACCACATGGCGAGTAGTATACACAATCTTTTTGATTTATCTGCACACTTTTGAGGTCACTTAATAAAATGCCCAGCATGTCAGAGTGAGAGTACTACTTGAATGTTTTGTTAACTTCAGATTGTTCTCATCAAAATGAGATCAAAACAAATCTTCACTTTTTCAACAAGATTCACACTGCTGTTCAAAACTTTGGGGCCGATAAGATTTTTAAAAATGTTTTTGAAAGAAGTCTCATATGCTCACAGTAAAAACATGTTTTTATTAACAGTATATTATTACAGTTTAAAATAAGTGTTTTCTATTTTAATATATTTTAAGTTGTCATTTATTCCTGTGATGGTAAAGCTGAATTTTCAGAAGCAGCGTCGCATGGTCCTTCAGAAATCAATCTAATATGCTGATTTGTGCTCCAGAAAAAAATGTTTTCAGTGTTGAAAACGGTTTAGCTGCTTAATATTTTTATGGAAACCGCTATACATTTTTTTTCAGGATTCTTTGATGAATAGAAAGTAGTGTATGTTAAAAAGGATGATAATACAAAAAAGATTCATGTTTTTACTGAACATGTATTTTCTCTTCCTCTCTTTGCAGCAATGCTCAAAGTGTAAACATGGTATGCCCCCCCATTGATTTTTAGTTTATAGAAATTACATGAAAATCCCTTTGAGTGATGAAGGGGTCTTGATTGTAATGAAATTGTTATGGCGGTGTGTAGATTTCTGCTGGATGTGTCTGGGAGATTGGAAGACTCATGGCAGTGAGTACTACGAGTGCAGTCGCTACAAAGAGAACCCAGACATCGTGAATCAGAGCCAGCAGGCCCAGGCCAGAGAGGCCCTCAAAAAATACCTGTTCTACTTTGAGAGGGTGAGACAAAAATCATTAATTAATAATAAATAAATCTCTTTTGAAAAAGACTGATAAACGTTAGCTTTGTGACCTGACAAGTAGGTTGTTTCAAAAAGTAGGCAGTAACATTATAGTTAACTCATTACAGAGAGGTATCAATAAAAATGTCTAATTCTAAATCTAAATGGACTATTTTACTCAATATTTATGTGTGCTATCTAATTTGTTATGCTAAGAATATCATGCTGTTAGCTTAGCAACATGCTAACAGCAAACCATGTTGGAATGGAATTTTTTATGGTGGTTGTCCAGTTGTTGCCTATATGGTGTTCTTTTTCAGTTAGGATACTGCCTAGATGGCAACAATACAGCTCACTAGATTTGAAACTGAGCTATTATGTCATTGTATTTATGAGTTGCAGGTTTCATCTTAATAACTCCATTGACACGTAATTGCTTTGATACGGAAACATCAATCTGTACATTATCTGTCTGTCCAGTGGGAGAACCACAATAAGAGTATGCAGCTGGAGGCACAGACATACCAGCGGATCCAGGAGAAGATTCAGGAGCGAGTCATGAATAACCTGGGCACCTGGATTGACTGGCAGTACCTGCAGAATGCTGCCAAGCTACTGGCCAAGGTACAAGCTGAATCCAGCTGTACTACACAGTAGGGCTGCACGAGTTGTGAATTGGGATTTTTTTTCCTGACACAAATTGCGGTTTACGATTAAAATGTTTTATTTTATTTTTTTTAAAGGTTTGGTTGTTTGTAAGGCTACACAATTTAGCCCAAAAACATTGTAATTTATACATCAATTTGGCTATAAACTGTAAAGGAAAAAAATTATAATACTTTTATTTTACAGTAAAACTATATAAACTTGTAGTACTAATATTCTTAGTAGTCTTATTTTTAAGTGTCTTCTTTTTTTAATTTTCAAACATTAAACCTTCAAGGTTTTATTTTGGTGGAAAAATGGAGGGGAACCTCAAAGCTTCTCTTTTTTTCATGGCAGCCAGTTTATAAGCACTTCTCATTACAAGTTTGGGAAGACGGTTGGCGCATGTTGCGTTCCCAAATGTACGTTAATCAACCCGAACTTAGCCGATTCAGAGATGGAGTTTGTGTGATTCAGAGCTGCATTTACTGTGAAACAAACTGAAAAACTGCTCACAAGTCAAATGACACTGTGCCACGCTACACTCTGAAACAATGAGCGTATATACTTGTTTAATTAAATTGTAGCCTTTGCGATTTGATAATTGACCTATTACAGTTATTTCGATTAATCTTGCAGCCCTATTCTGCAGAAACAAATGCATACGCATAAAGGTCCATGTTTCCACACACTTACGCTGTGTGTTTGCTCTCTCCATAGTGTCGTTACACACTGCAGTACACTTATCCTTATGCCTACTACATGGAGTCTGGACCCCGCAAAAAATTGGTAAGCACTTGCATTAAATGTGTGAATCTCTCATTGAAGGTCAAATATCTCTTTGAGATCAGTCTTTGGTAATGGGAAATCTCATTTTTATTCCCTGTAGTTTGAGTATCAGCAAGCTCAGCTGGAGGCGGAGATCGAGAACTTGTCATGGAAAGTGGAGCGAGCAGACAGTTATGAGAGAGGAGAGCCGAGCGCTAACGATAGAGGGGTGAGAGCTGGAACAAAGACTAGAGGAAGTTGTGAACTTGTAAAAAAAAAAAATAATAATAATTCATAATGTTTTCCTCTCGCTTTCTCTGTAGGATCTGGAGAATCAGATGCACATTGCTGAGCAGAAGAGACAGACGCTGCTGAAGGATTTCCACGACACCTGAACATCCGTCCATTAAATCCATGTCGAGTTCACTCTTCTCTCAACTGTCTTGGCCCCTTCTCTCCAAAGATACCCCTCCACTTTTTTTGTCAAAACTCTACTCTGCATCTCATAACGTTTTTGCCCATCTCCTTTGTGTTTTTCTCATTTAGAGCATCTCTTTTCAAAGCAGTTTTTTCCCATTTTGTTCATTCTTTCCTTCATCAGTGCCCCTTTTTTGCTTTCTAATCTTTACTCAGCTGCAGGGTTTGAGAATAGCACGATTGTATCCTAGCATTCGCATACACAAACATTGCATTCTCACACCCCCATGTCAGCTGACATTAGACGCGCGCGCTCACACACACACACACACACACACACACACACACACGCACTCAAAACACTCCACCGAAACAGTCTAACTCTTTCTTCCTCCATCATTGCTCCTGCCATAAATTCTGCCTTCTTTCCTTCTCACTCTTGCGTTCTTCTTTTTTTTTTTTTCTTCCTTGGAAATGGCTGTTGATAGTTAGATCGTTAAAAAAAAACTGAAAAAAAGAAAACTGAAAAAAAAGATGAAAAACAAATGATGCTGTAATTTTCAACGGTTGTACATTAATACAGAAATAGAGATACTGAGAGAGTTTTTAAACCAGACAGTGACTCTTGTGTTTTCTTGTGCACACACATTAAAGATGTATTTGCACTACACTACCATTAAAAATTTTGCTGTCAGTAATATTTGTTTGTTTTTGAAAGAAGTCTCTTCTGCTCACCAAGGCTGCATTTATTTGATTAAAAATACAGTAAAACAGTAATATTGTGAAATATTTAAAATAACGGTTTTCTGTTTTAATATATCTTAAATGTAATTCATTCCTGTGATGGCAAATCTGAAATTTTTAGCAGCCATTACTACAGTCTTCCTTGTCACATGATCCTTCAGAAATCATTCTAATATGCTGATTTGTGCTCAAGATTTTTTACAATTATTTTTAATAAGGTAATTATTATTTTATTAGTATTCATATTATTTTATTAAATCTTATCACAGGTGAAAATGTTTGTGCTGCTAAATGTAGCACTGGATTTATTTTTTGATGATCAAAGTTAGGAAGAACATTTAAACATTTATTTTAAAATAGAAATACTTTATAACATGAAATATCTTATGTTTTTGATCAGTTGAATGCATCCTTGTTACATTAAAAAAAAAGTCGAAAAAAAAATCAGATCCCAAAATTTTGAAAGGTAGTGTACATGTGCATTTGAAATGTGATATATTCATGCACTACACAACCTTTTAACATGTATCACTTCATATACGCAAAACCAGAGTTGTCTTTGACACCAGAATGTTAGAGCTGCCATATATTAGTACAGTTCATATTTGCCATTTTGTGTTAACACAGAATTGGAGATGTCACAAACTGATTACTTACACTGTTCTTACATCAGGATAATTATAATTACTGTATGCAACCCACAGCCATGAAATACAACATTTTGGTCTTTATAGAAAAGAATAAACAATATGCAGTGTTGTATGAACCACTTTTCCTTTTTGATGTTTCATAAAGGATTTCGCTTTTTCTCTCCAAAACTCAAACGCATACACAGATCAGATGTAGTCAACATGTCTGATAAAGAACAAAAATCTATTATTATACAAACATATTAATATTAAAAATACAAGGCTTAAATGTGTAACATTTATTTTACTACTGTATTTTTATTGAGGCCCTAATAGAGTAAATATTAGGACAATTATTTCACAGTAAAAACAACACTCCTTGGTCCTTGCGCGCACTAGAAGGGCATTAGCTGTGCTCGCGCAGGCCCTGCATATTCAGGTCAGTTCATGCGAACCAAATAAAGTCAGCAACAGAGTGCACGAGATAAATTTAAATCGAAGTTCCCCTCGTGCTGAACACATGTGCGCGCGAGATAACGAGAATGCGCCCACAACAGACGATACAAACAAACACCCCACCCTTCCACTGCACCCCAGGGCGAAGAGATGACCCTCAGTCTCCTATATTCGGGAATATTAAATAAAACTGTTTTAGCGAATAAACGCCACCCTACTACAGCCCGGAAGTGACGTACGAAGACAGCTTATTAATATCTGCGGAAGACGAGGTCGTACATACAGGCACGTGTGATGCTTGTGGGCACGACGGGCCAGCTCCAGTCCCAAAAACAAGAGCACGCTGGGTCTTTCTTTGATTAAGACCTGTTTCTTAATAGAAACCTGAAGGTTTTTTTGGCGACATTTAATGTCGTTAGGTGCCGTGAAGACTGTCAGATTGAAGCTCCGAGGAGAACATCACTCACCGGACTGTGTGCGCACCGGCTCACCTCCTGTGAGAATTTGGACTTTTACGCTTTTCAGGCGCTATGGCGGACTATTTAATCAGCGGACAGACGGGCTACGTGCCTGACGACGGTTTAACCGGACAGCAACTCTTCAACTGCGGAGACGGCCTTACCTATAAGTAAACACCTTAAGTTGTCTCATGCCCCTCTGTTTCATTCTCCATATGCTTGCTATTTGTTAAACATCAAACAGGCTTGCCAGTCACCACTGCAGATGTGCTTACACAGTAAAACATATAACATGGGCTGAACAGCATGTAGGTGTCGTTGTTGGTCCACATTTGTCTGCTTTGGCATCCAGCATGGGTATATGTGACAGCACACTGTTCTACATCTATTGTGCAATTTGGTTTCACGTGGTTAGTACTGCATAGACGGATCACTATGGAGGGCGCATGTCAGTGTGGAGCCATGTGGGTTCACACGGTCAAGTCAGGTCGAAGGGACATCTTGGATTGACTGATGAACTGTGGGGATTCATCATCTGCTGCCATTCCATTTGGCCAAGTACAGAGAAGTAGAGTTACCACAGTCTATTCTTAAACCACTGACACCCCGAGCAGCTTTTCTTGTACCAAAACTATTCGCGGTCTCTTAGGCCAGGCCTTCCAAATGCGCTATAAATAGGTTGAGCTTCGTGAAGTATGTTGTGGTTGTTTTCCCTTTACAAATTCTCTGGTGCCATGTAAAGCATATAATGTCCCCGAGTGAAAGCCTATCCGTGGCAGGTGCGAGTTTTTTTTTTTTCAGAAACGCCTTTCTGTTTACCACCTAACACAAGACTCGTACGCTAATGGACTGTTTACATTGGATATAATGAGGTTGCAGCATTGACGTACTCGATTTGATCATAAACGGCGTATATGTATGCATGTGTCGGTGTGCACGAGATAAGAGAGTTGAATGTTGGCGAATCGGACTGAATCTGTCAGAGCGGTACTCAAGTCATCAACTCACTGAATCATTATCGATTCGGTGTAATTCATAAAAGCGATTTATGCAGAATTGTAAAAATAAAATAGCCTGTTTTAAATGTATTACTGTTAATGTTTCAAAATAAATAAATACATAGTTTCTGATTATGTTTCCCAAACACTCCACTCTGCCATTGGTTGTTTAAACAGTTAGTCCCACCCCAAACTCTTGCTATTGGCAGAGAGCCATCTATAAAGATTTCTGATTGGCTAGAACTGGAGTCCAATGCGATGCTGTCACAGATACAAGTATTATTTCTAAGGACACCTTTTTCCAGTTACATCTGTCAAGTAATAGTGATATGTGTTCAAATATCACTTGCAGCAGCTGTAAATTAATTAATCTCCCTAATCTCCTAATTTTCGCTCACTTTTCTCCATTCGCTTTTAGTGATTTTCTGATCCTGCCAGGGTACATTGACTTTACAGCTGACCAAGTGGTAAGTGAAACACTCTGCTCATGAACAGTAGTCAATTTTGTACACTCTACTGCTGTATGGATGATGTTGCTTGTGTATCATCAGTGGTTTAATTTGATTGGCTCTCTGTAGGACCTGACATCAGCGCTGACTAAACAAATCACAACGAAAACTCCACTGGTCTCGTCACCCATGGATACAGTCACAGAGTCTGGCATGGCCATTGCTATGGCGGTAAGAAGATGATTGACACAAGATTCCAACACAGAAAGGGCTCTTACTATTATAGGCATTTGAGTAAGCACAATTATCTAAATGTGTGCATATTACAAAAGAAAAGATTATTTGCAAACATGCTGCCTCATATTTTGATATCAGTGAAATCATTGAAGTCCCCATGAGTCAAGATAGGAGTCTTTTAAATCTATGTCCATTAGCTTTTAGACCATCTTTGCAAATATACTTCTAGAAGTTGACAAAATAAAAATGTTGACATACACATCTAAAATGTACTTCCTCTTCCAGGTAAGTGGAGTTTTTTTCCCTAAAAATGTCCTGTCCTGTCTCCCCAAAACCACATTCCACTTGAATTGTTTATCCTTTTAAACCTAAATTTACAAAGATTGATTATCTATGTGTGTAGCATTTTGTTCTAAAGTCTGATGTGATCATGTGTTTTCACAGCTGACTGGTGGGATTGGCTTCATTCATCATAACTGCACTCCAGAGTTCCAGGCTAATGAAGTCCGTAAGGTCAAGGTGAGTCTCTTCAGGTCTCTTTCTTTGACTCTTGTCTTTTTATGAATGTACCAGCTTCCTTTTCTCATTCGTAATATGTTTTTCCTCTGACCCCTACCCTGTAGTTGCAACAGTGTCCTTGTGAATGAGAAATCCACACCTCATTCTGTATTAAGTGATGTGTATTGAGGTGACTCCCAAATAGAGATGCCTAATAGAAAATCACTTGACTTTTCTCCCTCCCTTTCCCTCCACTTTTGATCAACCTCCGTTTAGAGGTACGAACAGGGTTTCATTACGGATCCGGTGGTGATGAGTCCTAACGAGCGGGTAAGAGATGTATTTCAGGCAAAAGCTCGGCATGGATTCTGTGGGATTCCGATCACTGACAACGGACAGATGGGCGGACGTCTGGTCGGCATCATTTCATCACGAGATATCGACTTCCTCAAAGAGTCTGAGCATGACCTGCCCCTCAGTGAGGTGGGTGGGGATTAACACCGAGGATGAGGGCTAAGCAGTTTTTACTGAACTCTGCTCACCTTAACTTTCTCTCTCTCAGGTAATGACTAAGAGGGAGGACCTGGTGGTTGCTCCAGCAGGAGTGACACTGAAAGAGGCCAATGAAATCCTCCAGAGGAGTAAGAAAGGTGGTGTAGACTTTAAGCATTTATGAGAGCTCTTTACCCTTTTCTTTCTTCACACTTTCATGGCGGAGGAAAGGTTTGGATTAATCCTTGAACCAAATAAAACATTTATGTGAATGGTAATTATTCATTAACCTATATAGCAGTGTTTCATGCACCACTTCTCCGCAGTGGCATGCCACAAAATAATTGCAACTTGCAAATTGCGTGCAGTATACACTACTATTTAAAAACAGCATTTATTTTGTATCTTACATCTTATACTTTGTGTCTTTTTAAATATTAATACATTTTATCTTTCTGCTTGTAGATTATTTTTTTGTATATCCATTCCATACCTACTTTTAGAGGTTTATAAATGTATCTGTCTATGTAAATGATTTTAGCCAAGAATATAGCTGCTGACATGGTATAAAATTACCAAATATATAAGTATAAAAAGACTCTCAAATTCATGAGTTATCATACTGAATCAGTATGATACAACCTTCACTAAATAACTGAATATGTTCAGTTACTCAACTGCTGCTTTGAAATGAAGGCAGAATGCTGCAAGATAATTTTCCCACGTCACATTCTCATACTCAATATGTTTGCCATAGGGAAGCTTCCTATCGTAAATGAGGAGGGCTGTTTGGTGGCCATCATCGCTCGGACAGATTTAAAGAAGAACAGAGATTTCCCATTGGCCTCAAAGGATTCTCGTAAACAGCTGCTGTGTGGCGCTGCTATTGGAACACACAATGATGACAAATACAGACTCGACCTGCTGGTGCAGGCTGGCGTAGACGTGGTTGTCCTGGTGAGGCCTGTTTTGGGCTTAATGTCTTTCAGTGAATCTGTTCCTGAAGATTGTTTATTTTTGTCCTATTTGGTTACATATTGTCTCTCTGTTCACTTTAGGACTCTTCTCAAGGAAATTCCATCTTTCAGATTAATATGATTAAGTACATAAAAGAGAAATATCCCAGCCTACAAGTCATTGGCGGCAATGGTTAGTTTAAAACACAAAGCTTTTGAACATAATATCTACAAACACACAGTTAACATGGGTTGTCTTTCTGTTGTAGTGGTGACTGCGGCTCAGGCTAAGAATTTGATTGATGCCGGAGTGGATGCTCTGAGAGTGGGAATGGGCAGCGGCTCCATCTGCATTACACAAGAAGGTCAGTCCACCAATCCCATGCCTGAATGCCTGCCCCTCAGCCGATCACCGGCTGTATTTCTACATCCAGTCATTCCAGAGAGAGCACCTAATGTCCAGTGCCTCCTTTGGCCCTCTTTTAACATGGTTAGAGAAGTCCAAATTATCTGTCATTTCCCAAATAACCCTGCAGTTTTGGTCTGCAAGGTGATTATGTAGATTGATTGATTTCTACTCTTCCAGCATTTTTCTGGGGTTTTAGAATCTGTGGAGAAAAGTTTTCATATTTTTGTTTGTGTGGTGTTATTCCATATTCTGTAGTTTTGAAGAAATATGTAATGCCTGAATGCCTGCCCCTCAGCCGATCACCGGCTGTATTTCTACATCCAGTCATTCCAGAGAGAGCACCTAATGTCCAGTGCCTCCTTTGGCCCTCTTTTAACATGGTTAGAGAAGTCCAAATTATCTGTCATTTCCCAAATAACCCTGCAGTTTTGGTCTGCAAGGTAATTATGTAGATTGATTGATTTCTACTCTTCCAGCATTTTTCTGGGGTTTTAGAATCTGTGGAGAAAAGTTTTCATATTTTTGTTTGTGTGGTGTTATTCCATATTCTGTAGTTTTGAAGAAATATGTATGTGTTTATATAAGTGTCTGTCTGTCCATTTGTATAGCTCTCTGTGACAAATGTCGTTATGAATGATGGGAGTATGGTAGTGGAGGCTCTTCCTTGCTCTTTTCTATCACAGTTTTCATATCTTTTTCCCTTTTTTTCCTCAGTTTTCACTTTTTTGTGCTTTTTTTCACTGTCTCTATGGCATATTTTCTTTCTTCTGACCGGTTGTCTTTTTGATACTTGCATCAGTTCCCCCTTTTTTTTCCTTTTTTTTATCAGCTCTGTTCCAAAACCTAGCAAAGAAAGAAATTAATCCTTTTATTTAGCAAGGACACATTAAATTGATCGAGAGTGACAGTAAAGACGTTTATATTACAAAAGATTTCTATTTAAAATTAATGAAATTTCTATTAATCAAAGAATCCTGGACAAATGCATCATGGTTTCCACAAAAATACTCTGCACAACTGTTTTCATAATTGATGATAATAAGAATCAGCATATTAGAATAATTTCTGAAGGATCATGTGACACTAAAGATTGAAAATTCAGCTTTGCCATCACAGAAATAAATTACATTTTTAAAATATAAAAAAATCAAAAACAGTTATTCATGAATATTACAGTTCCATAATGCATTGCAAATAAATCAAAGACGGCTGACATGGTAAGCAAAAATTTTATTATGAATATACGTATTACTGAATAAAATGTTTTATACTGTAAAATAGACAAGTAATTTTAATGTATTCTTTTACCCAGCATTTGAGTGTAACATTTTTTATGCTTGGAGTATCATGCTGTTAGTTTAGCAACATCAAACTGTGTTGCACACAGTTGCAGGCTTTGTACTGCATTCCAAATCCATGCCTTATGAGATTCCGTAACAATTAGTTATACTTCCTTAGAAGTATGTAGGCAGCAAGGCACCTCACTAGGTTTTAGAACAGAGCTACTGTGTGCTCTTTCTCAGTCTCTATTTCCCTTTCTATAATTGTGTCTCTCTAGCATCTCTCAGTATTCCTCCTGGTTTAAAGCTCCACAGCCCCAAAACCCCAACTACTGTTACGGGATACTCCAGTAAGTCCCTCCCCCTGATCCCCATTCAGATCCCATTGGCTCACTATCTCACTCTGCCTGCTGCATTGACTGGTTAATGGCTCTGCATCATTAGAAGTAGTTGCTGGTTTTTGGGGTTTTGGATGCTTGTCATTGTCTGACTAACCTGTCAGTAATGGCGTTTGGCACTTCCTCTGTTACCCAGAATCCCTCACTAACATACGTGAACTAGTTTGTGCAGTGGCTAGAAAAGGTATTTGGACATGAAAGTCGCACTTAAACATGCATCAGTGTCATTGCATCATGAAATATAAAACCAAGTGACATTTATTTTATTTATTTATTTTTATATATATATAAGCTTTTTTTAACATTTCACAAATTACTTTTAAATACATGCTGTTAAATGACAGTCATGAATATTTGGTCACTTTCTTTAAAACATTAATGTATCCTCTTAGTTAATGTGATGAACTTGAGGGGAAACGACTGAATATTCACTAAAAATCGCTTTTGGAGTTGCTGATTAAAAGTCATTGCCAATTTGGCACAGAAAAGTGAAGTTCTGAGAAAAGCACTAGCATTGCTTGTTTCTATATGCCATTTGCTTTGATATTTTATTTGTACAATGAAAATATGGCTTAAGTGTCCAAATAGGTTCTAGAGCTGCTGGAGCATATGAAGTGCACTTGCTAAGCAAAGCACAAATAGCTGAGGGTTTCACAATCATCAGTCTCACTGCAGAGGGGTCTTTGTTTTACAGTTCAGTATAGTCCGTGTCCATTTCAGTCACACTTTTTTTTTTTTTTTTTCATTTTACAGTATGCAGAGTGTAGATGGTGTGACTTTAAAGAATACAGAAGGGGGTTGTGGGTAAAAAGTTGACACTTGTCATTTTCCAATGCTGCTGCCCCCTCCTTCATTTCTTGTTTATTCTCATTCTTTGTCTTAAAACAACAAATGCCAAAAACTCCCTTGGCTGCTGGGCATTAGTTCCAGGTGGTGATGATGATGATGGGAGGATGACAGCATGGATTTCCATGCATCTTGCATGCAACTTTTCACTTGTTATGCTAATTAATATAATGCTTAATTAGTTAGATTGCTTAAATAAAATAGTATAATTTGCAGTAGTAGTCTCAGACTTTTGGATCCCAAAATTTGGAAATGATAATAAGTGGGTTTGACAGGTGTGTGCGTGTATAACATAGCAAACTAACTTTTTATTGTGATGGTCTTGCGGAAGGTCACAAACAGACAGTGGAGCGAAAAGATTGTTGAATTTTTTTTGAATGATTCAAATCATTTTCCTTTGGTTTGTCCTTTCTCAGTTGTTCTTGTTTGTCAAGACTTGCAGAGGGTTTGCTGACGGGCTCCTATTTTACTCCTCTCATGTTACCTCACCATTTATAGAAAATTTCACATTTAAAATTCCACTTTCATAAACCCCCATATTTCATATGACGCTAACTTATTGTCTTTGAACTTAGTGAAGTTCAAAGAAGTGCTATGATTCAGATTTCTTTAATTCATTTTGGTTTGGCCTCATTTTGAATTGACATGTAATACTGTCTCTGTAACGTTTACTGATTGGTTGATTGTCACTGACTGAAGTCCCGTGACTGCATGAGTAAAGAATACACTGATAGTCAATCATGTGTTCATATGTCTGTCTGTATGTGTGATGGAGAGTATGGATGTCTGTGTTTGTATGAACAAGTTAGTGGAGAGTATTTGTTCAGCAATTCATATGATTGTCCACATCTACACAATTAATATTGGTAGAATATGCAAGTTTAAGTTGATAGTAATTTGTAAGTAAGGCTCTGTATTTCTCATTGCTCTCACAGTGCTAGCATGCGGGAGGCCACAGGCAACAGCTGTGTATAAGGTATCAGAATACGCTCGGCGGTTTGGTGTGCCTGTCATCGCTGATGGGGGAATTCAGACAGTTGGTCACATTGCTAAAGCTCTTGCATTGGGAGCATCTACAGGTGAGTTATGAGTTAGATATAGATTCATGAGATATGTACTAACGTTATAATTGAAGCTAAATTCTTATGCTTTTGGTTCCTGTGTCTCTCAGTAATGATGGGGTCATTGCTCGCAGCCACCTCTGAAGCACCTGGTGAATATTTCTTTTCGGATGGGATCCGTCTGAAGAAGTACAGAGGGATGGGCTCACTGGATGCCATGGACAAGAACTTGGGCTCACAGAGCAGATACTTCAGGTGTTACACGCAAATAAATCCTTTCCCAAATACAAAACTGTGCACTTATTGCTCTTCGTTTCTGCTACAATTTAGCCACTAATTACAGGTTCCCATGTTTTTTTTTAAACCGCTTCGCTATATGCTAGCTATTTCTCAACTGCTTATATAGAGTAATGCTTGATGATATATAGATATATTTATGGAATAGTAGTTCAATAAGAATCTGAAACATTAATAAAAGCTAATAGCAACAACAGCTTTTTGACTGAGAAAGTAAGTTCTACAGAATCTAAATTTAATCCATGTTCACTCTCTCAACCCCTCTGTCATCTCTCTCTGTCTCTTTTTTCAGTGAGAGTGATAAGATTAAAGTAGCTCAGGGTGTTTCAGGGGCTGTTCAGGATAAAGGCTCCATCCATAAGTTTGTTCCATATCTTCTTGTTGGCATACAGCATTCCTGCCAAGACATCGGTGCAAAGAGCCTCACACAGCTGAGGTATACGCAATCGCACTAATTATTCTCATACCTGCAATTAAATGCATTCAAAGGCGCAGTATAGCATTTCTGTGCCGGCAAACAAAATTGTAAAAAGTATGATTATTTCCAAAACAATCATTTCTTATTTTTGCAATTCTGTTTGATTCCTTTAGTGGGACTGAAATTATACACTGCACCTTTAGCCCAATAATGCACTGCTAAGACACAAACCCAATATTTACAGTATCTCACAGAAGTGAGTACACCCCTCACATTTTTGTAAATATTTTATTATATCTTTTCTTGTGACAATACTGAAGAAATTACACTTTGCTACAGTGTAAAGTAGTGAGTATACAGCTTGTATAACAGTGTAAATTTGCTGTCCCCTCAAAGTAACTCAACACACAGCCATTAATGTCTAAACCGCTGGCCACAAAGGTGAGTACACCTTTAAGTGAAAGTCAAAATTTGGCCCAAAGTGTCAATATTTTATGCGCCCACCATTATTTTCCAGCACTGCCTTAACCCTCTTGGGCATGGAGTTCACCAGAGCTCCACTGGAGTCCTCTTCCATGATGACATCACGGAGCTGGTGGATGTTAGAGACCTTGCGCTCCTCCCCCATCCGTTTGAGGATGCCCATGCTTGGCCAATCCATCACCTTTACCCTCAGCTTCTTTAGCAAGGCAGTGGTCGTCTTGGAGGTGTGTTTGGGGTCGTTATCATGTTGGAATACTGCCCTGCAGCCCCAGTCTCCGTAGGGAGGGGATCATGCTCTGCTTTAGTATGTCACAGTACATGTTGGCATTCATGGTTCCCTCAATGAACTGTAGCTCCCCAGTGCCGGCAGCACTCATGCAGCCCCAGACCATGACAGTCCCACCACCATGCTTGACTGTAGGCAAGACACACTTGTCTTTGTACTCCTCACCTGGTTGCCGCCACACACGCTTGACACCATCTGAACCAAATAAGTTTATCTTGGTCTCATCAGACCACAGGACATGGTTCCAGTAATCCATGTCCTTAGTCTGCTTGTCTTCAACAAACTGTTTGCGGGCTTTCTTGTGCATCATCTTTAGAAGAGGCTTCCTTCTGGGACGACAACCATGCAGACCAATTTGATGCAGTGGGCGGCGTATGGTCTGAGCACTGACAGGCTGGCCCCGCACCCCTTCAGCCTCTGCAGCAATGCTGGCAGCACTCATA